GATACTTTATATACACATTTGTATTAGACATAGTTAGATGAAGATAAATAGTGATTTATTGCAGACATTAACTATTATAAATACAGTTCTACTTTTTACTTTAACCAAGTACTCGCTTCTTCCTACCGTCTTCCTCTGCACGTACGAGTGTACGTGAAGTTCCGAGGCACCGCCTTATTCTGTTATCAGAGTAAGTAGCTTGCACTGTCATCAGTACAAGCTTCAGGGTGCCCCGTTACATCTGGTAGCACTTCGTAGTCCGTCCAAGGACCACGTTCACATCCAACATGAATATTTTAGATGATGAAGATGACCAAAGCTTTCACGCTACGCGTGACGGCTACTCCCATTTGAGCGATGTCGAATGGGATGCGGTTGAACGGATGGGTTCAACCATGGGCATCCATGCTGTTAGCGTCATGCTAGAGGCTCTCAATAGAGATGCCCAACATGCTACTATCGCCAAGTTCATTCAAAATGAACATGACGCCGAACGCGAGAAAGTATCCTTGCTTCATCAACAAGGTTCACACAAGCAGATTTGTTGAGAGAACAGGGTGCTCAACCGTTTGAACTGTTGAGACAGCAGCAGCCTGCTGCTGGCGTGTCGATGCACTCGCGTCGACCCGAGACTTTGAAGATTGACATCTCCAAGTATAGGGGAGTCGAAGAGGACTCTCTCTTGAGATGGTTCGTCGAATTGGATGAAGCCATAAGGGCGCGTCGCATCGACGACGGGGATATGCAAGCTGCATTTGCCCAGTCAAATCTGGCAGGACGTGCCAAGACTTGGGTACTGGGGCTCAAGTGGCACGACCCATATGCGTTTGGGTCGTTGGAAGTCTTCAAGTTGCGGATCAGACAAACGTCTGAACCGCCTGGAGCCGAGTTCAGAGCTCGAACCGAACTCTTGAACTCAAGCAAGGTAAGCGTGATGTGTACGCTTACGCGCAACATATACGACATCTCACGAGTTGTATAAGTTCCAACCCGGTCGATGAACACACGTTGGTTTCGGTGTTCATGCAGGGTCTTGCGGATGGTCCCGTCAAGACTCGCCTGTTCCGACTTGAACTAGATTCACTAGAACAAGCAGTTTCCATTGCGGAACAGGAAGACTTCAGTCTGAGACAGGCTCGCGCAAGCTCGACATCATATCGTCAACCGAGACGATATGACAGCAGAGGTCCAGGGCCGATGGAACTCTGTTATGTAGAGAGCAAGAAGACTCGCTCTACATACTACAAGAAGTTGCAGAGATGCAACAGATGTCAAAAGACAGGACACTACGCTTACGAGTGTAGTGCACCTCGTCCAGTGTCTCGCTACATTGGGCGTAGTGACCGTCCACCCATGAGAAAGGGGCAAGGACGTGGGTCCGCTGTTGGTGCAAAGACGCAACAACGGGATGGACCGTCAAAAACTGAACAGGATCAGTAGGTGCGGCGCACCCTACTGGTACAGCAACGTCAAGAGAATTTGTGGGCCTCTTGATGGAGGTTGCTCCTAACACACAAACGTTGTGCGTTGCTGCTCTAGGTAATGAGGACTCAATCATTACCTTGAAACTCGAAGTGACGAATAAGTTGTCCCTTCGAGCTCTAGTCGATTGTGGGGCGTCCAACAATTTTGTGCGACGCCAATCGCTAGAAGATGGTCACTTTAAGTTCAGTGAATGTGACACACATCCTACGAGGAGGACGGTACGTCTTGCGACAGGCGCATCCGTAACCGTCATGAATCGTATAGTGAGGATCCACTATACGCTAGATGATACCCAATATGACTATCGGATTGGATTGTATTTGGATGAAAAATTTGATGTCATCCTTGGAATACCGTGGCTCAGAAGGTACGAACCACGGGTAAACTGGCAACATCGAACAGTAACGGTGCCTGCCGCTTGTTCATCAGATGGCCATCTGATGAACGTTTTGGAGCGTCCACAAGCGTGTGGATGTACTACGAGTGAGTGCGATGGCCTCACTTGTGGTACGGTCGTTAGTACGACTGCACAAAACCTTAGTGTAACAAACGGTTACACTTCGGAGCAAAGTTCCGGCGGCTGTGAGGAAACACAGGCTGCGTCGAAGGTCCACCACTCGAATAAGTCGGGTGGACTGGGACAAAGATGTATCCCTAGCGGGGAACATCTAGTAGAGAAACCAACGATCGCTCAGGTTAAGCGAAACGATAATCCTAGATTGACTGGAGAGTCTTTCGTAGAGGATCTCGCTGTATTTGCGCAACTCCAGCTAGAGGAAGTTAAGGGAAAAAGTTCCGATACTACAAATACGGTGGAAATAAGTCCCCCGAAACCCGATGGAATAAGTCCCCGGGAAGCCGAAGGAATTAGTTCTTCGAGGCCTGAGGGAATAAGTCCCCAGGAAATGACAGAGACATTGAATGTCCTAGTCAATAACGGATCAAGTGTAGGCGCTTATACACTTGATCTGATTGCGCCTCCGAAGTTGACTTCGGAGATCACTCAGTTGCCAACGCTCGAACATAAAAGGTTCTTGCGTGATCTGCGTAGTGGCAAAGTCAAGCAGATCTGCGTACTCGTCGCTGACGACGAGTGTGTAACCGACATAAGGTCAGCAACAGTGTTCACTGAGAACGAGAGAGTTCTCAGTAGTTCATCTATGGACGAGAGTGTCCTAGATGAAAAGACACGAATTGAGCGATATGACTCACAATCGCGGGAATCGCTCAAGAAAAATCCTCTCTATGAAGATTTGGTTGAATTCAAGGATGTATTCCCTGAAACTGTTCCGTGCGAATTACCGAAGGATAAAGGTATTCGACACGAGGTCGAGCTTAAACCAGGCTCGAAGTACTGTGTCATGAAGCAGTGGCCACTGCCTCGTGAACAAGTACTTGCGATCGACAAGTTCTTTGCCGATCGTTTAGCTGCGGGCCATGTGAGGGAATCAACTTCCCCACATAGCTCTCCGACCTTCTGTGTGCGAAAAGCAACAGGAGGGTGGCGGATAGTGCATGCGTTCAACAAATTGAACGCTGCAACGGTACCGGCTCAGACGCCGATACCGAGGAAGGACGTAATCATTGATGGTATGTCAAAGAGTACCATCTTTTCGTCCATGGATTTGATGGATGGCTTCTATCAAATCCTTATGCGGGAACGGGATATACCCTATACCGCAGTTAGCACGCCTAGCGGCATGCTCTGGGAATGGCTAGTAATGCCACAAGGGCTCAGTAATGCCCCTGCCACGTTCAACAGATGTGTATCACATCTGTTGAGACCAGTACGAGAATTCGCGCCGAGTTATTTCGATGACGTATTCATCCATAGTCGAGCTATGGATGGAAAGTCGGACGTTGAGGTTCACAGGTACCACGTCCGACAAGTTCTTACAATCATGCGAAAGCATCAATTGTATGCAAACCTCAAGAAGTGTATATTTGCAGCAAGCGAAATACCACTTCTTGGGTGCATCGTTGGTAAGAACGGTGTACGTCCTGATCCCGAAAAGATCAAGGCGACCACCGACTGGCCTGTGCCGGTTGATGTCAAAGGTCTTCGAAAATTCCTTGGTCTAGCGGCGTATTTGCATAAGTGCTCACGCAATTACGCAGAGATGACTGTGCACCTCTCTCGTTTGTTGAAAAAGAACGAGAGGTGGTTATGGAACGCTGAATGTCAACGCTCCTTTAAGGGTATCAAGCAGAGCTTGATACAATCCCCAGTCCTAGCAATAGCCGATCAGGACAGGCCATTTCATGTGGTCTGTGATGCCAGCGATTTCGCAATCGGCTGCGCATTAATGCAGTACGATCTTGAAGGCGTTGAACGCGTCGTCTGCTATCAGTCGCGTCAGCTGCAACCAGCTGAGCGGAACTATCCAGTGCATGACAAGGAACTCCTTGCATGAAGTATGCACTCGCGAAGTTCAGAGTCTATCTATTAGGAGATAGACCCTTCATTGTTTACACTGACCATGCGTCGCTACGCACGGCAGTGAACAGCCCGCACCTTTCACAACGAATGGCGCGGTGGTTGTCATTCTTTGCGGAATACAACTTTACGGTCGAGTACAAACCAGGACGACTTAATGTCGTCGCTGATGCACTCTCACGTCGTTCCGACTTTGAAACAGTCGCGAAACCCAACAGTGAGACTGTCACTGTTGCGGTTATGACGTCCTCAGTCCCATCTACAACGTTGTATGATGATGTGAGGCGGGCATACGCCCAAGATGGTGAGATTGTGAAGTTGTTGTCACATCTCTCCCAACCATCCCGAGAATCGTTGAAACGATTGTCGCCTGCGTATCGATCTGCATCAGATAGATACACTACTCGTAACGGTTTACTGTATTATACAGCCGTTTCTGGTGACACACCACGTGTTGTTATTCCAGATGATACTGATCTGCGTTTGCGGATCATGTTCGAGTATCACGATGCTCCTATAGGAGGACATCGTGGCCGGGAGAAAACAAATCTCACGGTAAGTCGAGCCTTTTACTGGCCCCGCCAGTATCAGTTCGTGCGCAAGTATGTTCGCGCATGCTAAGTCTGCCAACGAGCGAAGTCAAGTCCTTCACTGCGTGCACCTTTACAGCCTCTACCGGTTTCGGCTGAGTGCTGGAAATTCATCTCAATGGATTTCGTCTTCGGGTTACCCAAAGACGCACGCGGGAATACGGGTATTCTCGTATTTGTTGACAGATTCAGCAAAATGGTACACCTTGTGGCTGTACCAGAGACAATCACGGCAAGTGGCTGTGCTTGTGTCTTTATTGACACCATCTTCCGACTTCATGGGTTGCCCCGTGAACTCGTATCAGACAGAGATCCACGATGCACTGCTGATTTCCGGCGTTCCGTGTACAAATCACTCGGGACGCGCTTGAAGATGTCTACATCTGATCATCCAGAGTCCGATGGTCAGACGGAACGTCCAATCGTGTCCTAGAAGAGATACTTCGAGGATACGTACACTCCTTTAAGAGTTGGAGTGAGTTTTTCCAATGGTAGAGTTTGCCATCAACAACTCGGTGCATGCGTCCACGACACATACACCGTTTTACGTGAATGGCTTGCGCCATCCGCGTGTACCCACCTTACTAGAGTGTAAATCTGATTTAAGGGGGGGAGGGACTCGCGCGAGCAAAAACCGAATTGGTTCACGCTCTGACGAAGAAGTCATTGCGTTTGATGCCGATATCGATAACATCGATATCGAAGAAGATGATGCCAGTGAGAGTGCGGAAGCCCTCACTGAAGAAAAGGTTGATGTTGCTGCAGTGCGCTCACAGCGCACTGAAGCTAACGAGTCACCAGATGAGTTCATAGTGGCTCGTGAAACGGTAGTCCGTTTTGTGCAAGACTCCATCGCCGAAGCGGTGGATAAGCAAAAGCAAAACGCTGACAAGAATGGAAGGGCAAACACTCTTATTTTAGTAAAGGTGACTTAGTCCTACTGTCTACGGTTAATCTACCAAAGCATGTAGTGACTAACTTGGGAAGCAGTAAACTACTACCCAAGTACATTGGCCCATTTCGTGTATTGCACCGCCTAGGCAATGCATACACGATCGAGTTACCACGTAAGATGCGAACGCATCCCACGTTTTACGTTTGTCGGCTTAAGCCGTACCATCAGTACGCTGCTTCTTCCGATGAAGAACGCCCTTGCGCTCAAGCATCTCGCAGAGAGCCTTGTGCTCCCGATGGTGGGCATCAACAAGGGTCTGAAGAGCAGTTATCTCATCCCGAGACCGATCAACAATCCCACGAGCTATCCTTAGCTCGTCACGAAGAGATGTCAGAGCTCTCTCGTTCTTAAGCTGAGCGAAGGCAAACTCAGCTCGATGCTTCGAGACAGTGTCCGCCATTCGGAGACGCCTGTCCCGCCCATGTTCGAGATCGTTGCGTAACCCTTGCGTTACGCGATCAAAGAAGCTCTCGGGAACACACCGATCCACATGATCGTGTGGAGAGCGTCTTTCCTCCTCCTCCACCTCCATCAGAGGGCTCTCGCGGTGGCCAGCGCTATCTGGTTGAGCAGCTGTTGAACCACCGCGACGTGAACGGACGTCGGACGAGTTATCTCGTCCGGTGGCGCGGCTATCCCCCGTCCTGGGATTCTTGGGAGCCCCGCTCCCAACTGATGATCGACGTACTGGGTCTGGTTGAGCAGTACGACGCGGCACATCCTATGCCGCAGAAGGACCGCCGGAGAAAGTCTTCCCGGCACGGTCGTAAAGGGATTTCAGGTTGTCAATCCCTTCGTACATCTCAGTAGAGATACGTACGCGCCACCACGGGCTATTAAGGAGGTAAGCCTCCTCAGGTGCTCGTGCAGAGTCGTTCACACAACATGGGCACGGGTCTCCCCAAGAGAGGCAGGGTAATCCTTTCTCCCTTGACAGACGATGCAGCATGTAGCGTGCACCTGTCGGGGTTCGCTTTTCAAACTTATCACGAGCTTTAATAAGTTTGTCGTTCCAAACGTCACGACCTACATCCTCGAGGTTATGGATGTAGGCGTTCCACGCCTGAAGTAGTGAGGGACCATCACGTTTGTGATTCCCACTGTACCATCGATGTCTAAAGAAAGCATCGATGAAGAATTCGTGTTCAGCGCGATAGTTTCTCGCGCTGGGGTCAAGGTGATGGATCCTTGACGAATCGAACAATCGTGTTCGATAACGATCACTCGTCGTCGCCGACAAGTGATCCATGACTGATTTAGGAGGCATCCATGCCTTCTTCTCAGGAGCGAGACGCAACACATTGCGGTCCCGCTCTTCCTGCGACGTGCCGACAGAAGTACTGGCACCTCGCTGTGAAGTGGTGTCTATAGGAGAACCGACACCACTATTAGCGCCCGAGTCTCGCGACCTCGAGCGCCTTCGCTTCGGCGATGGTTCATCTGATTCATCAGATGAACCAAAGATGCTGCGACGCAAAGCATCGTCCATGCCACGCTTGGCAGGCTGCTTGGATTCAATCGCCGTCGATACGGATCCGTCATCCGTATCAGGAGAGTACGAGACACCGAGCTCGTACTCTGTGAAGACACGAGTGTCTTCATGACCAGCGCCTGCATCACCAGGTGACACAGGCTGAGTCGCTTCAGCAACCGATGGTACATCAGTTGCTGTGGTTTCTGCTTCGGCGTCCGCACAGAGACGTGCAGACGCGCTCTCGGCGGCCTTACTCGCGCATCGCATGGGCTTGTTAACCATGCGATGAAATGTTGGAAAGTGGACGCGGACCAACAAGTGCAAACCTGTCCCAAATGATTTAAGACGAGTATCCATTTAGTCAATCAGTCACTAAAGTGACTGATGGTTAAGGGGGGGTGATGTAACGGGGTGAATCGTTACATAACAATTTATAAGAAATTGTAGATAGAATATAACTATTAGAGTTACATTCTCAGAATATTGTCATAAGGACAAATATTCTGTAGCACTTACAAGTAGTTCCTAATTGGTTGATATAGGCCATTATATCAACCAACGAAGACGCGCCACGACAGACGCACGCAATGAGTGGTGAGCAGATAACTGATTTACACATTTGTATTTAGACATAGTTAGATGAAGATAAATATTGATTTATTGCAGACATTAACTATTATAAATACAGTTCTACTTTTTACTTTAACCAAGTACTCGCTTCTTCTTACCGTCTTCCTCTGCACGTACGAGTGTACGTGAAGTTACGAGGCACCGCCTTATTCTGTCATCAGAATAAGTAGCTTGTACTGTCACCAGTACAAGCTTCAGGGTGCCCCGTTACAGTGACTACTTCTTGAAAGGAGGCTTTAGAAATAGAAAGAACACTCAGTCGGCGCGTCTGTCTTCAATTCCGCATCACCCGCTAATTTTCGCATGCTCTGCGTGCGTACTTCCGTCAGTGTTATTATCCATGTAGACGTTTTGTAGATAGTCAAACTGCGACACCTGCGAATCTTCATCTGCCGGTATAATCACCTGCGGGTGAATGTGCCAGTGGTGTACGTGATCGTACTCACCTTTCGATCTTTCTCCCACGTCAGCATACGTAGTCCGATGAACCGCTAACCCAAGTGAATGCATCGACTATGAATATTAATCGAGTCCGAGCCGTCGCCCCTCGGCAACATCCCTCGTACTCGATAATGCTCCAGTACCTGAACTGCGCGCCACTATGTGTTTTCCCGGAGTAATAGATAACTATGTCGTTGTCTCTCTCCGTGTAAATTCTCCATAACTTCACTGCTGGTGCTGCGCTCCATGAAGCTGCTTAAGCATAGTGTCACGTAGGCGAGGTTTCACTGTGATAGCAATTTGAAACTACACAGTTCCGCGTCCCCGTCCTCCGTTGTTGCCGGATAATTGATGATGCCTGCGAGAAGCTTGTCGCTGCTGACATCGGATGACGGTCCGTTGAATTGCACCCGGTTGCGCTTGTTCGTCACGACGTCGTCCGTGTGAAGTCCAGTACCTTTGCTCAGGTCCATTTGGCACTTCAGATGTCGCAAAAACTCGTTTTTGTTCGTCAGCAAACTGACCTATGACTTTAACTGTAGATGCTGCCAGTGCTTAATTCACATCTTCCACTGTGGTGCGGCTGTCAAAAGACGGTCCGGCAACAGCGCGTTTCTTAACTAAGCATTATCGTTGTCTTAACTACCGATATTTTAATGCTCTTCCCCACTTTTTAACACCAGGCCTTGCAGTGATCGGAGCTAAAGCAAGCAGGGCACGGAATTGATGCTGTAACGAACCACCCTTTATTTGGGATACCGTGAAACTTTGCACTTGTACGTGCAGAAAAGGTAATCTATTTAAACTGCCATTTTCAGTTACTAATAAAAGAGAACTTTGTTTTTTTATTTAAGCTATCTAGACAAAATTCATCTTTACCTAAATACGCTAATCTGATTGCCGTATGGCGACAACCTGCTTACCACCCATTAATGGCGTCTAGCAGCGACTGATGGTAACCTTGATTGACGTGTCTTTATTAACCAATCTTTGAGCAGCACGTGACAAATATCCTACAAGTGAATGACATCCCTCCGATACTTGGCAGAGAATTGTCACGCTAGACAATCTTCCTGTTGACCCTGTTTAGTGCCATAACCATGTAATGGACTACACCGTTACAGATGCCAACTTTTGGAAGTGTTTAAAAACTCACTTCGTTTTCCGACTATAAAGAGGTGGCATTAATTATAACTACGGGCATTCCGTTGACTAAAATTGACCGTCCGATAGTCATTGTCGCACTTCTTTAACCCTTGCATCCCAGATCCTCGACTCTGCAAACATACTCACCCGAGAATTGGCCGAACGCGAATCCAAGCCATCCGCTCCTAGGATGCGCCCGTCTTACTGCCCCGGCCACTTGCGGGTAGACCGAGTACCTGCAATAGTATTCTATGCTCTTTGCAGCTTAATGATGCAGCCTTTCATTTCAGATTACCTTTTCGCCCAGTCATTCTCCGCTTTCGTCGACATATACGTGTAGGTAAGCGCGTGATGCCCATCGAACATAACGCAATGCACTACTTTTTGAAACTTCTCTATCACCTTTCTTGTAGCATCAGTATGTGCACTTTCTCAAATAGCTCGATTCACGATTAGTAGCCGAAGATGTGCTGATACATTAGCGATCAGCACCTCCTCCACCTTAATGTAGTGATTGCCGTCATTGCTGCTCTATGGAGTCATGGTCTTGTACTCGCTTAGAACGTGGGGAGGCCAGGAATTCAGCCGTCGGTCCACATACGCTGTTAGTGCCTTGCTCCCCTCTGCTTACATATGAATAAGAGCCATTACCCCGTACAGCGAGTGATTCCTCGTCTCCTTCTTGTAGCCGCGTCATCGTCTCCGCTGCAGCTGCTGTCCATTTCTCATGTACCGCACGCGCTTCCAGACGCAATTAAATTATCTTGTATTACCAAGCCCGAGGTGGAACCACTTATGTCAAGGTTTAGGTGGCGTCCACACCGTCTTGAGTCTTCGTTTCTTGTAATCCCCTTCGATTCGTTTACCTCAGTGGCCTGCTTTGAAGGATTTTGTGTTAGACGTAGTTGCACTAGTGCAAAATAAGTACGAAGTAAATGTGAATTCCATTTAGCGATAAGAACAACTTTCTCTAACACTACGTTACGTATGAACAGAAACTCTCCTCGTCCCGTGTGACATCACGTCACATGAAGTATGTCTTTCTTGGTCCCATGTGTGTCTTGTCACATGGCGCTCGTCTTTACCGTCCCATATGCTAATGTAACACATGATCATTTATCCAGGCGAGGCCGGACTAAACTGTACCAGGTCTTGCACTTGACCTTCAAAACTTTCTTGGCCTTTCATGAAGAGTATATAGAAGCATTTATATCTGCAAAAGCGGACATGGGGAAGGTCCCGTCCAGTGGATTAGGTAGCTGGGAGGCGATCGTACACAGAGGGTACGTTGCCGCCAAAATGCTCACTTGAGTGCTAAAACTTCAATTAACAGATTCGGCTTCAAGTCGCTGACGTGATGCAGTAACAAATTGAAGGCAATTTATCATTCTTGCGTTTCGTTGAATTTCGTACTTTCTTGCTCTGTTACTTCAGAGCTATGATATGTTTTGCGAGCATCACCATAGGCTGCTCATTTTTAGGCACGAAACTAAGCCTGCCGCATCGACTTCGCAGTTCAGGGCATTATTATTGCATTAACAACTAATAGGCGTATCTTATGGCAATTATTGCTACGACTACAGTTGCATCCATGCAACTCCAGGCTACTTATGCACATGTTGCTGTCACAAAAGCTAGGCTGTTTAACCAAGATATCAATCGCTGGATAGGGTCCATTCACGTCGAATAATTTAAGCTTGAGGCCCCACGATGACCGCAAGGTGCATGAAAAGAGCGTGCTAGGTTTAAACGCAACCTTGATTGAATTTCCGCAAATCATTTAAGATTTGTGTATAACGTAAGAGTGTAAATTATGAACATGTTGCCTGTCGACATGACATAGGGATGTATACGCGTATCTTCATAGTACCCACTCTACATTCAATCAGCAGGTGTTGAGGTGAAGGCAAATTTTAACATGACTTTTGTATTGAGGTTCTTAGTTCTTATGCTAACCATGCTACATCTAAAACCTTTATCTACGGTGTTTTTTTTCATCGTACAAGAAACACTGTCGTCCTAACGTCCTTATTACGACCGATAAATCTTCTGGTAATCACTTTACTTGATGACAGCTGTACCTCATACATGTTTACCTTATGTCCTCAAAAAGTGAGTCAAACCCGATTACCAATATCCAATAAAAACGCATCCATAAAATACATACATACGGTGTCCCTTGTCAACATTTCCACTAACCGCCATTGCAATTTGTTAGCAAACTTATCTCCACTCGCATCGCATAGGAACTTGAGTTTCTTGGCCCATAACGCCTTCGTCAGCAAATCTTCCATTTGTTTTTCTGTCTTGGTGTACTTGACCGATATTGTATCAGTCAAGACATTTTTCGGATGAAGGTATGGCGAATGTCGATATGCTTTGTATAAACGTTGTATTCGACGTTGCTTGAAAATGCGATTGCTCCTTGGTTGTGTTCTTAGACTTGCGTTGCTCCCGCTTCCTGAGTCACATGTCCCTTAGCATCGGCCGTCACCCGGCGAACTTCTTGTGACACGAACTTAGTGCCATGTATATGCTTTAGCAGTAGTTAGTGCCACTTTTCGTTGATATCCTAGATTGTACACGACTGATGTGCCTCCGGTCATGACCATGATGCCTGAGACAGGTCTTCGATCATCGATGCTGCAACCCCAGTCAGCGTCCGTGAAGGTCTTCACCATTATCTTTCCATCTGTATGGTCATGCACAGTCCTGATGTCTCGCGTCACTTAAGATATCGCAGCATCCGAATTGCTGCTTTCCAGTGCTGTTATCCAAAATCTTCAAGAACCTTGACAACTGCGTCATAATTTATGCCAATTCGGGCGGGTGTATGTCATGATATACAGCAGACATTCGTGTAGCGACCGATTTGGTCTTGTACCCATGTCCTACCGCTCAGCACTTGTGGTCGGTGGCAGCAACTTGGTAAGCTTATTTCCTGCTTCACATAGATTTACTAATGCCTACTACCTTTGTATCTTTTTGATTAAATGTTTGCACCACATCGTCGATTTGACTAGTCTGCTTATTTGTCAGAATCCCAGCCCTTGAATCATGTTTGACCTCCATACTTAGAAGGAACTTGAGCTTACCAAGTTTTTACATCTTGAACGATCCATTCAGCGCGTTCTTGAACGATGCGATCTCTTCATTGGTCTTAACCGCGATAATTATGTCATCGATATACAGGCAAACAAATACTATGTTGCCGTGATTGAGTTGCTCGTAAACGCATTGGTCGCCCCCGCAGCTCTGTAACTCGATCTTTATGAAAAAAATGCATGAATGGTTTTGTGCCATGCACTCGCTGCTTGTTTAAGTCCATAAATGGCTTTTCCAGCTTGCACACCTTACTATTGGTTGTTGAAAGCCGTTTCGGCACTTCCATGTGCACTTTCTCCTTGAGGTCACTGTAAAGGAAAGCTGTATTCACATCTATTTGCTCGGACACATATCCCTTTGCCGCAATTATCGTCAATATAACTCCTTTAAATTTCATGTTAGCAACTAGTGATTGAGTCTCGAAAATGTTCACGCCGAACTTTTGCTTGAACTCCTGTGCAACAAGTCTGTTTTGTACTTGATCACAGTGCCATGTTTATCCCGCTTTCTCGCGAACACCCATCTACATCTGATTGGTCGCACTTTTCGGCTCTTCGTACAGAAACTAAAGACCCGTTCACCTTGTGCGCCTTCAGTTCTTCTTTCATAGCCTTAATCTACTTTGATGAATCATCACTTGCAATGGCTTCTTCGTACATAGTTGTAGATTTAGCACTGTATGCAGCGTTTGCGGCCTACGTTAGTACTGCTTCCGCAAGTAGGCAATCATTTTCGAGCCATAATCTCTTTGAGAGATGGTGGGCAAATTTGGTCATCATTTTCATCGTTTTTATCCAGTTGGAATCCGTCCTCATTCATGAGCATAAGTTCTTGACTGCGACAATTTAAGCGGATTCGGGTCGGAATGCCATTTGTTATCCATTCTTGGATACTCTGTCAGCTTCGATCGAGGCGGTTCTGGGTCGTCCATTTCTCGAATCTCGTTTTCTTAAGCAGACTTGTCCGACCACTCCATTGTCTCATCTTGAGACGGTTTCTCTCCACTCGGAATACATCGTGTCATCGTCCCCTCCGATGACCTGGATTATTGCCTTGTTTCTCGATATCGGTGTGTCATAAATCCCGCTGATATCTCGTTTGTCGAGCTATACTGATTTGGAAACTTACAGCTTGTGTGCGTCCAAGTCGTATAACCTGTACCGTTTAGTATTCCGCTTACCCGAGGAACAAACATTTAAACCCTTTCGGGTCCAACTTGGTA